CCACATCTAGCATCCCATTGTGAATATATCCTTCCTTATATACTGTAGTCCTTGCTATCGGGTTCTTGCGGCTACATTGTCTGATGCTAATACACATTGCGGCACCTAGCTAAACAGAACTGGCTTCGCCATGTTTCTTAAACTTGTCCAACCTAGCAACAGCAACAAAGGGGGGCAAGACTTTGAATCAATCAGTGATTCTTCAAACAGTTAGTGGCCTCTGTTTACCAAAAGTTATATATTCTCACTTTGAGCATGTAGCTAGAGCCATGAGACGATTAGCTAGCTAGCTTAACAGAAAGATTGGAAGCAAGGGGGAACAGCAGGCCTGGCTTTGTCGAAACTGAAAAAAAAGAGTCGCAACACCTCTAATTCTGACTAATTAACCTGTTTAAAGGGGAAGGTAGGCATTTTAAAGAAAGTTTGGAAAAAGACAAGCAAACTGTAATAGTAGCTAGTGTTATCGCTAAGCTAAGCTAATCACTGGATGACCCACAAAAAAGTGATTCGCGGGTGGTATTTTGTCTTAATTGTCTTTCTGGGTGGAAAAAAGAACATTTGGATTGGACTGCAGGTGTTAGATGATAAATATTTGAAAATAAAATGAGAATAATAACAATTTAATTGCATTTTTTTTAAGGTTTTAATCCTCTAAATACTGACTTTGTGTGTTGGCTCTATTCCTATGCCAACTGGAATATGAGAGCCGCTTTAATCATGTGCATCACTAACAGGCATGATAACTGTGGAGATGTGCTGCTCAGTGTGATGAGAATAAGCAAAAAATATGTATTTGAATTATATTTCCTAAATTACATTTGTCTTAAAGTGTAATTTCTTCTTTCACGTGTATGAAATGCCCCAAAGGGCTTACTTTAAACATGCCGCCTCACTGCATTGTTTGAACAGTGCATGGTTAGTTTAGGGTTTGTGGCCATGGGTCTTGTCTCGGCGGGTCATGTCACGAAATTAAAGATCATATGTTTGGATGGTTGGTATCAGTTGAGTATCAGTCTTCTCATGTAACTCAAAAAACAAATTTTCCCAAAATATTGAGCTGTACCTTTAATGCTGAGATTTGGAACACAGCGGTGTCACTTAAAGGAAATCCAAGCGGGCAAAAACCCCCGAGCAATCAGGCAATTATTATTGCCATTTTGGGTTTTCTCATTTTTAGTTTCACCTCCAAAAAATCTGTGCGCAGCTTGGTTTGCAGAGAGTGTGTTCCCTCCTCTCTGCTTCTGAAAGCAGAGACATTTCTGGCTTCCTGCAGCTCCTCCGGTGGACATTTTAATAGAAAAGCTTTTCATAAGAAGACTGCCGAAATACACGACAGCCCTTTGATCTCCTGCATTTGTGTGTCTATGTGTGTGTGCGTATGAAAAATGATAGAGAGTGTGTGTGTGTGTGTGTGTGTGTGTGTGTGGAGTAAGTAACATAATGTGTGTGTGCATTTGTGTGTGGCGCCCAGTAAAGGTGAGAACATGAAACACTTTCTTTCATATTTAATGAGTGGAGATGTGGCTAAGGAACGTTGCAGTGTTCACAGGAGGTATTCCCGTGGGCTGTCAACCTGCTCGCAGCACTTAGTTATATCACTCACGACCCTGTGTGTGTGTGTGTGCATGTGTGTGTGGTAAGTATGCATTTTAGTGAGTGTGCAGGCAGAAAATAGTCCGTCCTACTAAAAGTTTAATAATTTGTTTTGAGGGGGTGGGGGCAGGGGTTCAGAGAGGCATATGGCACGTGCGTGAACACTGCACCAGCATTGTTTTGATTATTCCGCGCTGCGTGGGAAGACTGGGAGGGGTCGGAGTATGCACAGCTATCTCTTGAGTCTGTAAACTAGGCCAAGCAGTAATAATAAATGTATGCAATGACCATACAGTGTATTATATCCTCGGTGTAAGGTTGTCTGTGTGTGTTTCTCCCAAGCTGGAGCCGTGCCCTCGACCAGCCGCGGGCACCTCGGGAGCCTGAGGAGCTTTAACGCTCCCTCTAGTTGCTTCCCTTTCTGATTAGGAAGCATTTTCTCTGCTGTTATCTCCGCTCTCGTCCTGATTAACTTCGTATTGTCGCTAATCAAAGCCGGTCTGATTCTTAGCTGAGATGCACTGGAACACACTGTCCCCGAGCTCCGGTGCTAGATTCAGCTTAGATGCTATTTCAGCAGGAGCTTCTAACACGATGTACCCAAACTTGGTTTCTGAATGATCATGCTATTATGCTGAAACACTCCATCTGGGAATAAGCTTTAAATGCTAATTGCTCCTATCCTGGAAAGCAAACAGGGGGCTCCTTCTAGACATGTTTTGAAGAGCTGTGTTTTGTCAGCGAGCCGAGGGGCAAAAGGAAAGAGGAGAGGGCAACTTTGATAATCCTGTCCAGCGTGACTGATGACTGTCAGGAGTTTGAGGAGAAGCTTTGATCAGTGAGAACAAAGGCAGCATGTTCTGCAGTACAATCCACATACAAAAAGAGGCTGAGAGAGCACAAATATCTATGACTTTGCACCCATACTGTATTTTTTTTTCTTTTTGAAAAGTTAGAAGCTACTTTGGAAAGTTGAAGCTGTCTGTTGTATTCTCAGCCACGCTTGCAGAGTCCGTCCGTCCACCGCTTTGATCCAGACCTGAATATCTCAACCACTATTAAATGGATTGCTATGAAATCTTGCACTGACATTCATGTTTCCCAGAGGATGCGTCTTAATGACTTCGGTGATCCCTCGACTTTTCCTTTGGAGCCAATGACATTTGTGGTTCTGAGTGAAATGCCTCAACACTTATTGTATGGATCTCTGTGATATTTGCTACAGATATTCAGGGTCCCTAGAGGATACATTTTAATAACTTTAATGACCTTTTATCTTGCAGCATCATCATGTCAAGATTTCAGTTTGCTCAGTACTGCAGTTTATGACCAAATACCATTGACTGTATAAAATAATGGACATAGCTTTTTTTTTTGGGACCTGTGGAGGAGTGAGGGGTGAATCTGACTCACAGACTGTAGTGATGCCTCACAAACAGCCTGCCACTCAAAATGGCCCAGCCCTTAATTATGCATAGCGTATGCCTCATTAAAATGTAAACGGGTGAGTTTGTTTATGGTTTATGTAAAAATTCCTCCCTGTACAGTTGTCATCAATATTAGAATTAGCTAGAAATACCAGAACCAGGCTGTAAACATGTTTAGTTCTGTTGTAAAGTTTTTAATATAGGGGTCTATGGGGATTGACTCACTCTCAGAGCCAGCCTCAAGTGGCCATTCGAGGAACTGCAGTTTTTGGCACTTCCATGTTGCCTTCATTTTTCAGCTCTGAACGTTGCTGCTTGACACATACTTGCAAAACTAATGACAATCCCATCAGCTTTATTTCTACTCCTGCGTTCAGTGCCAGTTAGCAAATGTTAGCATGCTAACAGGCTTAACTATTGTTCAGTAGATATTACCTGCTCAAGAGCAGCATGTGATGTGATGGTATGCGTCCGCAGGATCCATCCCTTCTACGCTTTCCATTTGTTTAAGCAGCAACCAGTAGTACTGCATTGCATTTTGAGAGAACGACCGTCAAGTTGGCCGCTCTTGAAGTTGAACTAACAGTTGACAATCTAGAATGAAGGCATATCCACCAACTGCAAGGTCGGGTGCTGGGTGCTACTCTTGTGCCTTTTCTGTGCCAGCTTTCAAGAACGCGGCTGCAGGTTGTGTCTGAGGTTGCTAAGCAACTTTAACCAGCACTGTATCATAGCCTATTTACCTGAAATCCAGAGCTGATCTTCTTCCAGGAGCTGTTGATAAGTGTGTAGGCCTATTGTCCGTGGGACAGATGTGGGTAGCCCTGCACTAACATGATCAACTTCTTCTCCATTTTTATCGCAGACTGATATTTATGGATGAAGGGAAAGGCTGGAGCCTATCCCAGCTGACATTGGGTGAGAGGCAGGGTTCACCCTGGACAGGTCGCCAGACTATCACAGGGCTGACACATAGAGACAGACAACCATTCACACTCACATTCACACCTATGGACAATTTAGAGTCACCAGTTAACCTGCATGTCTTTGGACTGTGGGAGGAAGCTGGAGCACCCGAAGGAAACCCATGCTGACACAGGGAGAACACACACATTGATGCATCTTCTTGTGAGGTGACAATGTATTCTCATTGTTTCATGTCACTGTGCACACTTGATGATTTCTCCTTTTTCAAAATGCTAAATCCAAAATTTGAGCATCGACATTCATACTTTGATACGTGTCATTCAAATTCTTCTCTCAGCACTTGTGGTGTTTGATCTGTCTTGTCATTTGTCAGCCTGCCTGTCGTGCTGTTTGTCAGTAATTGCGTTGTTTAGCCTGTAACACTCGGAGTCAAACTGTTTAACACCAGCAGAAGCTTGTACCAGTTGATATTGCAAGGGTTCAACACCCTCAGGGTTTGTGCTCGCTTCTAGTTTCAAACTGTTAATCTATGCATCATTCTCACATCAAAACACAATATTTACAACATGGCAAAGATGCAGGGCATAAATATTTCACTGATTTAAAATCCAGCCACTAGATCTATCAATATTTGGTGTTATTTTGCAACTTTTTCTTGGAGAGGGATGCATTTGATGTGCGGCTTTAAAAGAGCCAGTAGCCTCTTTAAATCAATCAATCTGACATGTTGTTGAGAAAACACAGTTTTGTTTTTTTTTTCCCCACAGTGTTTTTATCTTGTGTCTTGTCGCCATCCAATTTTTATAAAAGATTTTTAAATATTCACAAGGCTGAACATATGGCCTGCTGGGAAAGAACAGCAATCCCTCCAGTTAACATATTATCACGCCATCACATTCCTGGTAATTACCAACGGTAAAATGATGCTGTAAACTAATTCTGCCCACAAAAATGTTTTCATGCAAAATCAATATTCTGATGCGAGTTCATTGAATAAACAAGTCCTTCATTATTGTTGTCTCACTGCTGTTGTTTTGTTTGTGTTTCTTACAGAGCTTCCGTACGGCTGGGAGAAAATCGATGACCCCATTTACGGCAGCTACTATGTCGAGTAAGTCGGGTACATCTTTAATATGTAATGGCTTGCTTTTGATTTTCGGCGTCGCCCGGTGGTGCTGTATTAATCATATTTATTAGGAGCAGACTGGCGCTGCAGCCAGGAAGCAGTCACTCCCTTTGTCTGGCTCCTGACGGCTCACTGTTTGTTTGCAGGGGGAAGTTTATTTGTCTGTGTGTGCTTATCCATATTTCTGTGTCATCTCTCCGTCTGAAACACTCGGCTGCATCTATATGTGTAGATTAGCTCCCGAGCAGAGATCAGTGGCTCTCTTTAAACATGTACACGTGTCCTCTTAGCTGCAGTGGCATGTCCTCGCTATTGAACTGCATGTCCCCTCCCTGTTCAGAGGTGTCATTTCTTTGGCTGGATGCTCTCTACTCTGGGGCGCAGGCCCTATTTTTAGACAGGCAGGGGGAGTCATTTGGCTCGACTTTGCTGAAGAAAAGCTCCAGAATGACACTTTGACTACACACCGCCTCATGCACGGCGCTCTCCTGTCGAGATCTTTTTATTGTCTCGCTTTGTCGTCATGTAAATATCATGAAAGAAGTTGCCAGACCTTGAAATTATGTAACTATGTTAAAGTATAATCAAGCTGTTTTGTAATTAGCACGGTGATACTGGGGTGTTCATTAAAAGATAAGGCGAGAAAGATGGTGTGTGTGTGTGTGTGTGTGTGTGTGTGTGTGTGTGTGTGAGGGAGAAAGAGCACAATGCAGCCTCAAACAGTGAGGGAAGTATCTAATGATGACTAATTATTTCACACTGGCAAATTACAGTATTTGTAGTCGCTGACTATCTTCCCCCCCTTGCAAACTAAATTAAGAACGATGTGGGACGTTGGAGGAAATCACTGTTTCATGTGTAGGTTTCCTCCCAGTCACTGATTCACATAATTCAGCTCATAAGAGATGGGCTGAACAGTCGGGGAAGAAAAAGCCCAGAATCAGGCATTTGTTCTTTTTTCTTTAAACTCAGCAAAGCCATTCTGCGGCTCCGTTACATAATCTGAGGGACCGGCCATTTACAGTAATTAATCATCACAGCAATGGCTGCTGTAGTGCCAGGGTTTTTTAAGATGTGATCTTTGCCGAGAGGGGGGAAGTTAAGTGCAGCAGCAGCGTGGTGTGAAATCTGAAATCTCTTCTGTTTCTTTTTTTTCTATCATCGTAGCCATATAAATAGAAGGACCCAGTTTGAGAACCCAGTCCTGGAGGCTAAAAGGAGACTCCAGCAGCAGCAGCAGATGCAAAGCCAGGGTCTGTCCTCACTGCCCCTTCCCACCATCTACAGAGGTAAGACCACCACGCTTTTATAACTAACGACCATTAATTCCCAATTATTGGGTACTATAGTCATACTCATGTGTCTGTATATGATATCTAAGTCAATATAGCTAAGTGCTCTGTCTTCAGTTGTTAACCTTTTCAAGTTCAGTCTCTTACTACCTTCAGTCATATGGATGTATTGCACCATTTGTGGTATTACAACCAAGTCTATTTGAAAATGAAGAAACATTTGATATCTGTAGTTGATGTTAAAATCATTTGAGGCTTATATTCACCAGTGCAGTGGCTGCTTATAATGGGGGCCGAGTGCTTGGCCTGTGGTGTGGGTCCTGAGCAACACACCTGGGCTCCAAACAGCTATAGATTTATTATGATGTTTAGATATGAACATTTTGACTTATCTTACTATTCTACCTCACTGAATACCTACTTATGTACTTCTACTTATGGCCCCCGACACAGAATTTTCCTAGTCGACCAACAGTCATCATTTCAGGCCATTAGTCAACTAGTTGCCCGCATGCTTACGATATTAATGTAATTATTAAGTGATATATTTTGGGCGGGGCAACACAATGGTTTGAGTTGAAGGTGTGAGAAAGAATAGTGTCAGTAACATTGTTAACACTGTGCTCCATTACAGAGAAATACAAAACCATACTAATGAACCTCCATTAATATAGGCCTATATTTTATCTATTCAAGGACGTGGGGCTTATGCTGGGTTCACACTACACGATATCTGCCTGATTTTAGCTTGACACAGCGTTGTATGGTGTCGGCTCGGATTGTAGACGACAACAATCCATAGTTTAGTCTTGTGTAGTGTGTCATACTAGACGACAACTGATGCCATGTCTTGGACACGTCTCGACATTCTGACAAAAAGTTTAGCATGATTGAGTTTCTTTTTGTCGCTCACGACTGCTCCCATCACAGCGGCCACTTTGACCAATAGGAACGCAGAACGATGTGTTGCCGTAGACAACTGTAAGGCAACAGCATCCCAGGATTTCTAAAATAACCTCCAGATGTTACTACAACAGAGTAAAAAGGAAAAAAATTATAGCGTGGAACAGCAGAGGCAGTTTATCAATCCCCTGAGTACTGCCATTAGCATCAAGCTAGCAAACAATGTTACTTCTTGATAATGGAGACAGACACAAAGTAAGAAAATCAAAAAATAGTGGCTTTTACGCACCACAGCTGCAGAAGCTACTAGCATCATTTGAAACAGACTATATTATAAATGGGCCGTTATTTATTAATCCCTCTGTATCTTTGTATTTTTACTTTTTATCCGCTCCCGTTGCCTTGATAAAGTTAGTGCATCGCGCCGTCATTTCAAACTCAACACTTCCTGTAGCCCCTTATAACCTCGGCTGAGAGAATGCCTTCATTTTACTAACAGGCTTTTATTGTGAAACATTTGTAGGAACTTTTTGTGGAGGATTCAGTGACTTGCACAGTTTGCATGCGGTACTTCAAATCTAGCTCCTGCCATCTGCTGGTGCTTTTAACGTTACTACAGTAACATTTCGGCTGGCACATGAACAGACACAGTGACTTAAATAATAGTGATAATGATAAAAATAGGACAAGAATAACCCGATGACATCACACATGTCGTGAAAGACAACCAGGCATGATTGGTCATGGACCATTTTATGACCCCATAATCGCTTAATTTGAGATAGTCACCGTCAGAACAGACATAAATGTTGTGTAGTGTGAACCCAGCATTAGAGTGTCCCTTTTATTTTCACTGTGAGTTAGAAAATGGTCGGCGGGCCACCTGGCACCCTATCACGGGCCAGATTTGGCTTTCAGGCCTTAAGTTGAGTATCACTGGTCTACAGCTTGTGAGACAATGTTCAGCAAACTTAAACACATCGAACTGTACACCAGAATATTTCAGGGTTTTAAATCATGACAGTACACACAATATGAAAGAAGCTTCTCCCAAATTTACTTCCTCAACTTCACGAGAAAATTGGCGCACACATGTTGTATCACCATAGCAACATGCAAAGAGGGCTACCACCAAGAACTTGATTTTTAGGAACAGGACTGTTATTTCTAAATCCACTTACAGCAACATACAACAGTCAGTTCACTCTGAAGTGTGAGTTTGAGGGACTCCAGCGCTCAGGTGGGACTAATAACACGTGTTGGTTGTATAAATAGTGAACATGTGGGTTTAATGTGTTTCATTATTTTGTTTAATGACTGGTTTGTTGCTGCCTGATTCCAGTGCTCACTCTCCACCAGCCACAGCAGTAGGATGTACTGCTCGACAAAAAAAAAACTGTCTGGACTGGTGAAGTGGAGGTTTGTTTCCATAGTAACGTAGTAGTCCGCCGCTCTGACTGGAGAGCCTGTCTCCGTGGTTACACTTTGTGTACACTCCAGTGAGGCTCTCTCTCCTCCCTCTCCCTACTTCCTCCCTCCTCCCTTCCCCCTCCTCCCTTTCTCACTCCAAACTTTGATGCCAGTGGAGGACGCCAGCCCCTCTGCCTCTGCCACCCTCCCCAGATCCCCCCTCGCTCAGGTCGGCCCGGTGCCCGAGCGCTGCCACAGCCTTGGCGACCTCTCTCGCTCGCCAACTCAGGGTCGCAGGGCGTATGCCACGTCCTCCTCCGCTGACGTCTCCCCGCTCCGGCGTGTCCTGACTCGCCGGATGAATACATGCCCCCACCATCACCACCACCACCAGCAGCAGCACCAGCAGCGGCAGCCACTTCACACCTCCGCCTGCACCGTGGTGCTAGAGCAGCCTGTCTGTAGCCCCTTCTCCCTGTGGCACTTTGTCAGTAAGTAGGCCAGGAGAGAAGCAAGGAAGGCTGTCGCTCCCATGGCTGCCTGCGCTCCTTTGACTTACTGTAAGCATGCTAGCTCGCAAGCAAGCTTTCTCCGCTTGAGGCAGTTGAAGGATTTGTGTGACGAGCATTTACCATGACATGTCTTATCGCCTGGCATAATCAGGCAGAGAGTGTAATCACTCAGTCTATGTCTGGACCAGTGACGGCAAACAAAGGATGTGAACTAGCACACTAGCCACGTCTCCCTCCGACCTGAAAAGATGGGACACTTGGTTAAGTGTGACTAAGCTTGTTGGCTGAGATCCTCTCATCCCTACACACGGCGCCCCTCCTCCAGAAATCTCCCAGCTCTCCCTCCTTCAGAAAGCTCCCACTTCCTCCCCTAACCATCTTCTCTCGGAAATGATCCCTGATTGACAGCATGTCATTTGCTGAATTTTGCCGCTTCCTTGCCTTTGGATGGGACTGAAGACCCGCACCACTGATGCTCTCTGCACCCTTTCTGACCGCCAAGTCCCAGCATGGGAGGAGAGGAACGGAGTTTAAGAGGGATGTTGTACCTTGCACGGTAGCCACACCTGCATCTTTCAGCTCCACAGTCCCACCTCTGTCCAAGTTCTTGCAGTTTAAGATCATACCCTGCCAGTTTTCCTGTGGCTACACCCGTATCTTACTGGATAAGCTTTACCCATGCCCCCACCCTGTGAGCACTGCCCTGCACCAGCTTTGAGGTCCTTTCAATCTCTGTTGTAAAGTATTCACAGTGTTTGTATTTGGTTAATTTGTTTGCTTTTGTGTCCTTTGTAGAGAAACCGCTGTTCACGCGGGACCCCACTCAGCTCAAAGGCAGTTTCTTGTCCACATCACTCCAAAAGAGCAACATGGGCTTTGGCTTTACTATAATCGGAGGCGATGAGCCTGACGAGTTCCTCCAGGTCAAGAGCGTCATCCCCGATGGGCCGGCCGCAGCTGATGGAAAGATGGCCACAGGTGAGCTTCAGGCATGAACAAAAACACAACCACTCTGACGAATACAAAGCATTTCTTTATCTTTGTTTAAGCATTAACAGTGGAAGCACATACAATCACTGAACATTCACATGAAGCTCAATAAAACTCACTTATGGATCCTCTCATTGGGAGATATTGTACTTTTTACCCGACTACATTTATTTTGTAACTTTAGTTATAGGACTGCAGGACTTTAATAAACTCCCAACAGTATGTAAAGTAATTAAAATTAGCTCCACATTTACCAGCTGCAACCATGTTTGGATTATGAGACAACGGGCCCCTGGGCACTGATATGCAAATGCACCACCTCTCCTATATAAAAGAAAGACACACAGACATTGTGATGGTTTAGCCTCTCTTTTTGTTGTGGTTTTGTGTCTTTTTTTTGGTCGTTTTGTGTCTCGCTGTGGCTGTTTTGCCCATTTTTGTAGTTATTTTGTGTCTCTTTGCAGTTCCTTTGCATCCCTTTGTGGTCCTTTTGAGTTTCTGGTCAGTACGTGTTAATTTGATTGACATTTTGAAGGTGAAGGTCGGGGGGCCCTGACACTTTGGGCCACTGGGCCTGTGCCTGTGCCTGGTAGGCCCATTCATTAACTCTCCATGGCCGCAAAATGAAAGGGATGAACACATAATTAAAATCCAATGTTATTCCTAAATGGGCCATTCTACATGATACGTGCTTGGGTCTCATTCATGAAATGTTAGCAAAGCTGTGAGTAGATTTGCATATAAAAAACCTTGGTACTAAAAACTGTATTCATGAACGCCGCAGGAAACTCGGATTTGATCTAAAACGTGTGTATGAAACATGTGTGTATGTCCATTGTCAATCAATCGTATATTGGTGGTGCGCTCCTGCTACAGTGACTGCCATATATGGAGGTGATAATTACTAGGGACAGGTGCGTCATGTTGACCTGAGAACATGGAGCACACAAAGAAAGAGAGAGAGAGAGAGAGAAAGGAAAATTGTGCAACGCTGAGATTGAAGTTATTTTAGGTGAAGTGGGGTTGAGTAAAACATTTAGATTTTTTTAATGTGACAGGGACAGGTGAATCAAAGGCTTGGAAGAAGGTAACAAGTGCCGTTAACTGTGTGTCATGTGTTGTAAGAACCATCCAAAAAGTTTAACAAAAATGGTTCAACATGAAGCGCATTGCAATTTAGGCAATAACCCAACGTTAAGTTTAACAACAAGTACGATAGTCTGGCATAACACCACACCGTCTCCCTCCAAGTCTCTGGCAGATTCAGGTTCACCAGCTGCCTGGTGCGACCCTGTCTGCAAGTGTTATTAAACAAAAGCTCAATTTGAAATTATTTTTACATCTCCCACGTCGCATCTCTGATAATTAAACAAAAATGACATGCAGTTTTGTATGAAGTCGATTTAAATAACTCATTCACGTTTTTAAGGACCCTAATCTGAAGCTTAAATCTGCTAAATACCAACTAATTCAACTGAATGCGTTTTATTTCTAATCTCTTGTCATGTTTAACTTACATATCTCAAAGGCACCTGTGTATTGTGAACATAACAGAGCACAATATGAATTAAAACTGTAATTTCTAATAATAAAAAGCAATATGACAAGTAATGAAGTAATGACAAGCAATGTTTATGTGCAATATCTTATTTACACAAGCACTGGGAGCAGATTTTGTAAGTGCCTACAAAAAGATCGAAGCTACTATCATATTGATGAATGCCGAAATGGTCCGTGTACTTGGCGGCCATTCATTTTTCGTTTCAAAAAGTTTTTTGTTTTGAAATGATCAAACGAAAAAGGAAAAAAACGATCCATCTCCCGTTTTTTATTTGATAATAAAGAAAAGAAAAACGGAAAACAAATCGTTATCCATTTTCCGTTATCTGTTATCCGATTTAATTTGGGAATTTAAAAAAACCCTGTGGGAAACTCTATTTTCTTCTCTATTTTTCACCACGAGCGAGCCACCACTTTTTTTTGTCCTGACAAGCCCCTGCTCAGCACACCACCTCCGCACATTCCTCTCAGAAAACCCCCGTCTCATTCCAAACTGGGTACATAACGCAGCAGCGATATCAACACAGAACATTCCATGTCTTCTATTTCCTGCAATAAAACCTGCATATTCATCCAAAGACATATTGCCGCCAGGGCTCAGTGCCGCCTGACGCTCTCTGACTACACACATCTCTTGACGGGTCGTTCGTGGAGCACATAAGAGCTATGAAATGTACAAACAGAGCATGTACATTTCCTATAACTACTAGAACATTGCTTTATCTGACATGTTATGCTAATAAATAACTTTTCTAACTAATCTAGGTCACGCTACATGGACAGCAACTAACGGCATACCACATTACACATTACATGTCCGCAAAAAATTATGTGCAATACGTGAATTAATAAAAAGTTTTATTACCATGGACCAAACGTTCCTTTTCGTCCGCCAGTTTTCTGTGAAAGTGACGTCAATTTCAGTCAAGTCGGCAACTCCTGTTCCAAAATTATCTCTGAGTTTTTTTTCCGACTTGAGCAGGCGCTCAAATGTGTATTTTCCCAGTCGGAAAGTCATTTTTCCAATTATTCCAACACCACATGAATGCAACTTACTGGTCACAGAGAAGAAACGAACAAAAAATAGAGAAAGGAGTTTCCCACGGGGTTTTTTTAAATTCCCAAATTAAATCGGATAACAGATAACGATTCTTTTTCCGTTTTTCTTTTCTTTATCATCAAATAAAAAACGGGAGACGGATCGTTTTTTTTTTTCCTTTTTTCATTTGGTCATTTCAAAACAAAAAACGGATAATGGTTGGTTTTCTGTGTTTCAATTTGTTATTTCGAAACAAAAAACGAATGGCCACGAAGTACACGGACCCTAAATACACGTTAATTTCTTTGTGCAAACAGTTTACACACAAATTTGTTCTGCTCACGTTTCATGACTGAGAGCCTTTCACTTTTGGTACTCTAAGCATATTTTGAAGCTAATACTTCTAATACAGAGCATCTCTACACTGTGGTATTACTTGTTTCACATAAGTTAAGATCTGAGTACTTTGTCCACCACCGTTAAATGTATCTAGAATAAGGGAAATCCTGTAAGTGTCCACATAAGAGCTTTCCTTAGAGGTTTGATTCCTGCTCTGCTCCATTTACCAGCGTACATCCAAAGAAACAAGGTTAACCGAAAGTTTTCAAGCCCCACATTTTTCTCCATTCACCTTTTTAATGCAGTGCAGCCTACATAGAGTCAAACTCATGCAAACATACCCAAATAAGAACACTGTATATGGTTCAGACAGTGATGTATGTAGGTTCCTCTTCAAGATAAAATGGCTGCACGTGGATATACATGCAGTGTGTGTGCAGGTGCAACTTGCTAAGCTGGCATTGTGTTAGCTCTGTATGTGTGTGTGCACATGCGTGTGCACCAACTGCAGAGTTTTGTTCCACCATTAATCATGAAAGGGACTTTATGATCACCATAACTCCTAGCTGTGGCCACATGGGGGTGGAACTGCAGCACACACACACACACACACACACACACACACACTGAGACCGACCAGCTGTACTAAAGGTCAAGGCAACAGAAGTAGCAGGTTTGTCAGTGCTTCTCAGCATGCAGTGATGTTTCTATGTGTATACACTGGAGACAACACAAAGCACATAGAGCAATCTGGTCAGGGAGTTTGCTCTGTAAAGCCGGTCTGCTCCAAAACACTTTTGAATTGTTCTATTTCATTGCGCTTGTGACTTCTTTCAGAGCATTGGGTCATAAATGTCTGTTTCTTTATAAATGGGACGGTGCAGCAGTCCAAAATAGATCCCTTGATGACTAATAAAGCTCGTCCTGACAATACTGCATATCAAACACTCTGAGCGTCTCCTCCTCGCTCCGTCTTTCAGAATCCCCCTTTTCTTTTTTCATGTTTTCTCTCCCCAGAAATAACTAACAAATCCCTCTCACATCTCTACTATCCCACCCCCCATCTCCTCTCCGCCGCCTCCTCCCTTCAGCTCATCTCCATCTCTATCTCACCATCCAGCCTCCATCCCCCAACTCTGCCTCCCCAGACTTTGTGTCCTACTTCTGCAGTGACAGTGCTAGCTCCATCACAGTAACTCCGCGCTCGCACGGATGTGAAAGCAGGCCTGCGGAGGTGTGAAATTCCCAATCCCAGATAGATAATTTGTGCCGCTTTCTCCACATGACCCCTCACGACTGTCTCCATTACGTGGTTACACAACTAGGGAAAACATGTTCAAGAACTTATTGTAAAAGTTTTTTAGAATATTTGATTTGGGGACTGGTAGACCACATGCAGTGCGGTTTTGTCCAGGCAAGATATTTTATGTTTTTGTAGCTTTTTTGTGTGTGTCCTTACATAAAATATGGGATTTGTTAGCTGTGATGTTTTTGTGGAGTACAGAGTAGTCTATGAGTTGCGTTAGCTTGAAGTGGAGAGGTTTAGTTTGGATGCCAGAGGCAGCGTTTAATACAAAATTGAGTGGGTTTGTTGCAACAACATGTTTCAAACTGGAGCGTCTAACTGCTGTAACATTCATTCAGCAACAGAGGGTTATTCTACTGAACTGAATCCATATACTACAGTGTGTGTGCTGTCAGCATAACATGAGATACTAAGGGCATTTTTACCAACCAACGAAGGAACCCTATTGTAATGCAAGGAATTGATATTACTGATACAAATTAAAGTTGCCCTGTGCAGTTTTTACATATAAACCAATGTCCGTTACATTACAGCCACTGCCAAATGAGTTATTAGGATGATCATTGAACGCATCTCCACCACACAACAGTCTCTGGTTTGCTTAGAAGCGCTATTGCCTTTTCCTGTCGCACAGGAAATGACGCATTTGACGTAGAGTTCAAAGAGCGCACGCGCAGTTGGAAATGTTGGAGACGACGAGGCTAGCAGAGGAGCTACTGAAAGATGTCTGAAAACCCAAAGAAA